GCTGTGGAGGCTGGGCACCCCACTATTGCCGATGTGTGGGATCTCCTGTGGAAGCTTAGGGTGCAGCTGCCCTTGTGTCTGAGTAGCCTACCATGGCTGATTTATATAACCTCTTACGAGGAGTGATTCTTCCAGGTGCTGGTGCAATGGAGCAAACCCGTGAAATGCAAAGAGGTGATCAAGCTGCTGCTGCCTCTTCTGCGCTTGACACCCGAGCTGTTGCGGGACCACATTTCAGGGGACCGTTGGAGTCTGCTAGCGATGCTTCCCAGCAAGCTTCTGTTTCAGGTTTTTCTCCTAATATTGCACATGCTAATTGGCCTGCCTCGGTATGGCCTCCAGGTGGCCAGGTTGGTCAGGGTGCGGCTATGGAACAGCGCAACTCTGTGGTTGTGGTGGCACCCGTGCAGGCACCTGCACTTCCACAGGTCCCTGACACTAGGGTGCAGGATGGTCAGCCAATGGCTGTGGTTAGCAACACCTCTGTGATGTCTCTTTTGAGTGCTCCTTTGTTATCTGGAGTGGTTGGGCAAGTTGAATCTGCCTCTTACGCTGGAGTGTCCACACACTTTGGTTCACACCTTCTTCTTTCTACTAAAGAAAGTATTTGGAAGGGAGAATACATTGACTTATTTACTCTTACCTTCAGGGATCCAGAGCCGAGGATCATGGTAAAAGATGGGATTGTTTTCAGTCTTTCCAAAGAGTTTCAAGCCCTCAAATGCCCTAAGCTGGAGCAAAATTTTGTGAATTGGATTATGGGTTTCACTATTTAAAGAGGTGTTATAGAGGAAAAAGAACCACTGAGATCTCCTGACTTTTCTAAATATCAGGATATCGTGATAAAAGCTTACATTAATTGGCATCATAACTCTAGAGGTGCAGCGTGGCTACAATACGACGAGCAGTTTAGAATGAGAGCTGCACAGGATCGCTCCTTGTCCTGGAGACATGTTCAGTCTGAGTTGTGGGCTGATGTTATGGTGGGGGCCTCCCCTTCGAGCAGGTGTGACAATGGGTATGTCCCAATGGTTACCATGCTGAGAGGGCCAAATGCGAGGCCTGCCACGGGAGAGAGAAGGCAATTTGGCATATGCTGGGATTTTAATGCAGGCAAATGCAAGAGGCAACCCTGTAGGTTTGAGCATAAGTGCAACACATGTGGGGGTGGTCACCCTGGAGCTTCCTGCAATAGAGGCAAGTGGCCAGGAGTGGCTACTGCCCCCAGCCAGCTTCACCTGGAGGAAAAGGCCCCGTCACCAATTAAGGTAGACACCATGGTGGCATGGCTAAAGATTTACCCTAATAAAGAGGCTGCTTCTTATTTATTTCATGGTTTTTCCTTAGGTTTTCATATCCCTTATACAGGTTTTAGGGTTCATCGTTTTGCACCCAATGCTTGTTCCGTAAGGGAACTGCCGAACATTGTGAGAAAAAAATTGGCCAAAGAAATAGCTGCGGGAAGGATTTCGGGACCGCATGACCAGTTGCCTATTCCCACCCTCCATTTATCCCCTTTGTGTTTGGTTCCTAAAAAAGCTCCTGGGGAATTCAGGTTGATACATAATTTATCATATCCAAAGGGCAAGATCCCAGGCTTGCCTCTGTTAAGTATGCATCATTCGATTCAGCAGTTAAGATGATTAGGAATTTAGGCAAGGGAGCCCTCTTAGCAAAATGTGATATTAAGTCTGCCTTTAGGCTCTTCCCTGTTCACCCAGATGATTTTGACTTACTGAATTTTCAATTTGAAGGAAAGTATTTCTTTGATAAAGCCATGCCAATGGGATGCCCGATTTCTTGTTCTGCTTTCAAGACATTCAGTACTTTTCTTCATTAGTGTGCAGTTAAGCAGACTGGCAATAGAGCCATAACACATTATTTAGA